TTTTTGACGAATACATTCGGCAGTTTCAATTAAATGGCGGGAAATAGTGGTAGGATGCGGTAAAATATCATCAACTTTAATATTTCCATATTGTGCACCAATCTGTATTAATGATTGACATAATTTTTTAAATCCTAAACCTTTTATTATTTCAAATGGCCTTATGTCTTTACTACAGAAAAAAATGCTGTCTTTTATTAGTTGTTCTTTTATTTTGGCAGAAAAAACAACTGGTTGCTTAATCTGTGAAAACTCAGAAATTTTTCTTTGTGAATCATCCAATTTATCATAACATTTATGTCGTTTTAAATGGGATGTACCAGTTTTACTGGATTCATATTTAAATAATAATTTGCATTTCTCACATTGAACAAAATTCTGCGACTTTCCATCTGTATTCACCACCAAACAGAAGCAACTCCATATTTCACTTTTTTTTTCTTTTGCATCAAACCTTTTTAAAAACAGTTCACCACTTTTAATTTTTTTTAAAATAAGCTTTTTTTCCTCGGTCATTTTAAAGTCATAAAACAGAGAAATGTTCGCAATCGTATCAAATTATTAAACAAAATGGGAATATTCCACAAACCAACTATACCGCGTACCAGCGTAACGTAAAATGAATTATTTTGACAAATAATACATAAGTATATTATGACCGACACTTCTTGGAACAGCTTAAGAACTAAATCTCGAAGTCACCACTGGTCAGTGGTTACCGTTTGCTGCATCGCCGCCGCGCCGCCGCAGTTAGCGTTTTCTCTGTGAAACATGGGCGTGCGTAATTTATTTTTAAGAAAATAATTTTATAAAACGAATAAATAAATGTATTTAACTACACTTAAAATGTTATCAGTGTCGGTTATTTAATATAAGGAGAGTACATGACTAGGGGGCTTAGCCCGGCCCGGCCCGGCCCGGACCCGGCTTTAAAAATCAACGGTTCGGCCCGGTCCGGCCCGGCCCGGCTGTCGGGCCGGGCCGGGCCGCGGCCCGATTGAAACGGGCCGGCCCGTGCAGGGCTCTGAGTCATACATCATCGTCGTTTCCTTATTACTTACAAGTTGAATCTTGAATAAAAATATTCTTCTTTAATTATCGTGTGTCATTGGATATTGATAACAACAGCGGTAAATCTTTTATTAAAAATAAATACAAGAACTAACAGCTACAAATTGAAAGCTGTCGTTATAACAAGCATCTTTTTTTTTAAATAATTACAAAAAAAACGTCCAACATATGACAGCAGTCGTCCGATTGTACTCGAATTATCTTCACTTAGATATCCATTTGGTTATTTTCAATTACATCTTATTTTCAACACACTTTTTCATTAATTACTGACATTTCAGTAAGGTATCCTCACTTATTTAGTTGCCTATATTGTATCTTTCATTATTCTAAAAATATGACATCAGTCATGCCAGCTCCTAGTTTGTTTATTCAGCCTAAAAATATAACAGCTATCGTTAAAGAAATATCTAATAAAAACCTCTGTACTCATTTTTTCTATAATTATTGACATTTCATTAGTTACGTTATTCGTACTTATTTAGTTGCTGTATATTCAATCTCCTAAAAACATGACATCGGTCGATAAAACCACTTATTAGCATCACCACTAGGTTATTTTCTACAAAATTATCTCTACAGTTATTTTCACAGTATTCTCATTTTGTTATTTTTCATTACATCTTCTTTTCAACCTAAAACATATTGAAATTGGTCATTAAATCCAGCTACATTCTTTAAAAGTGTAACAGCATTAAAATCATCTCTTTATTCTCAATATAATACGATAAGTTATAAGGTTTCTAATTATATACAAAAGAACTATTTAAGCCATCAAATAGGTTGTTGATTATTTCAATACAATAGGCTGTATTTCCAGCCGTTATGGAAACTAATTCTCCGGTTGTTGTAGCTTCAAAATGGTTAAATAACTGAATAGCGAGCTTTAGGCTCATTTTTTTAAATGCATTTGGAAAAAGGTTTTTTAAAGTGATTTTTAATAAAGCTCTTACAGATTTGCTACGTTGGTCCAGTTCATAAACCTATTTAACATCAGCAAATTTGATAAATTTGCATTGAAGATAAAATAATCTTGTAAAAACTTATTTCGCACGCATTTTACTAGGTCAGGCACATAAAAAATGCAAAGTAATTGTTTTCTGTTAGGTAAAATTTAGGGTTGTCTACAGTAATGCCCAAAGATCTATAGAATTTTTGGTTAACTGTAGATAAATCACACACTATCCCTATAGGTTGCAAACCTGAGTCTCGAATATGTGTTAAACCTTTAATAATAATAGTTTCGAGGGATTAAGCATCGACACAGTATTGGGTTAGAAAAAAAGCTACTGGAATTTTTCATTGGGAAAATACACTAAAGATTGTCCGGCAAAACTTGGCTTTCTTTTGTTGTTCTCGAAGTCTTCAAACCCTTCAATGACATATAATTTTTTATTATATTCGATGATTTTCTTAATTGCCATCTCATCAAACAACAGAATACATTTTTTGTCCTCGTTTGTCATTGTCTCTGATTTAATTCAAATATTTTTAAATATCCGATGTCAGGGTTCATAAAATATCACGCAACTTCGTTTGTTTATTCCATTGTATTATTCAATTATTTTAAAAGCAGAAACTCATAACCTTGCAAGAATTTAAGATTTTAACTGAGAAGAATTCGCATACCTTATCCCAGTCTGTTGAAGTGAAAAAGAGAAAACTTGTAATATATATCTATGATACTATAAAATGAACATTATATTACGCCGATTGATCTATTGGACACATATCTACTGTTTTTAACTCTCAGTTCCTATTTGCGCCATATTTTTTAACCGATTTATGTCAAGTACGTGTGAAAAGTAAACCTACATTACGACCGTCTTAGTAATTTGTTGTAAAAATGTCACGTTTGCAAAAGGTTTAAGTCGTAAAATTGTGGATTGCTACGATTTCCAGAAAGCGCCAGTCATCTGGCAAATGCTCTAAAAATGACTCAATTTTAATACCTTTAGTACCTAGATATATCTTGGTTTTATATTCAAAAATATTACCTAAAAGTCTCTTTAAACGTTTACTGTTTATTACTGCTCTGTGGTAATTAAAACCAATGAGGTTGAGTGGAAGATATATTATAGTTGTCACAGATATGTTAAATTTTTTTTTAAATGTTAATTTTGTACAAATGAATATTTTTAAAATTATTGTTTTGTAGCAGAGTTTTTATATTTCTCATTTTTTAGATAAAATTGTTTGAGTAGCGAAAAATGTAGTTTTGTTTTCTAGATTTAAAAGGCATGAGTAGCCAAATTTACCATTTAGAAAACAACTTAGGGAATAAATAAAGTTATAGGTTCATTAGCTGATAAGAGATGTTAAAAATCGTTTTTGCAACCGGCTATTATTATTTAAGATAAAACTATATATAAAGTTTTTATCTAATATTAATTAAAAATATAATTTAACGAATTTATGCAGACAGTAACTTTTTAAAAACAACCAAAAAGTAGTAACAATTTTTCAACTTCAACGCTTAAAGATTTTAAGAACAAAGAGTTGTAATGTAATGGCTCTCATTAGTTCTGATTAACATTCCAGTTCATCGCCTTAAAAGAGTTGGAAAAATGTTTTTACCGAAAACTTCTTAATAATTAAGTACAGTTTGGAAAAAAGTTTTCTTTCAAATTAAAAACAGAGAAAAAGCAAGGATTTGAATTTATAGTTTCTTATCGGGAAATTATGAATCAAAAATTTGTATTTATAAATTGTAAAGATGACAAAGATAACTTTGTACTACATAATAATATAAATAAGAGTAGATATTGGCTTTAAATAAATCTAGATCATTCCAAATCCATTAATATTATTATATAGACGTTTCAGGAGATTCTGTATACACATAATCAACATTGTATTGTTTGAGCGAATTCCATATTTTCAATACTGTTGAAATTTCTGTTCCTAATAATAATTTGCCTTAGGTATCCAAAAGTTTATATTAGTAATACAATACTCAATAAATCCAGCTATAAATATTTAACAACCGGAAATTAGTTACTACAAATTGAATTATTTAAACCCGAAATGTATTTACAGATTAACGAATGTGGTTTATTGTAATTTAAATGTTAATATTATCTGTAATTAGCGATTCTAAGTAATTTTAAACTTCACTTGATATTAAATTAATTTGTAATACTTTGACATGTGTCAACGTTGCACACGATCAAGTATTATATTTTACATTATAGGTCTGCTCCATCGCATACAAAACCAATAATATTACTGCACAAATCATGAGCAGTAGGATGGGCAGATCTATACGGGAAAAAAATAAGGTGCGGGATCTCAATTAGCATGGGTGTTAGAAAGTTGTCACTACTGTTGTTGATCATTCCTGCAAAATTTCGGCTCTGACAAATGCCGTCTTCAGGTGCCTAGTTCCCCTCGAATTTCCCACGAAGCTTGATACTGAAATGTGACTGAAATATGCAGCTCTTCGCTTATTTTACTCATCAAAAACACAGTTTTAATGAATGAAATAACCCATAACTCAACACGTGGAGGTGGCTGTATGGCGAGTTCCTCCCTACCTCCCTCCCTACCTTTATATTTTCAAGAAAATTGCGAATTTATTGATCTAAAGCCTTTAGAAATTGCTGCTTTGTCTGAGTTTTCGGAATTTTTTTTCTGGAGACAATCCTAGTTCGAATCAAGCCATCTCTGGATTCTGTTCCGCTTACTAAACCAGAGGCTTCAGTAACTGTTCTGATACATCTCTCAACAGCTTGAGTATGACTAGGGTATTTTGAAATTTCAATGTTGTCAGGAAATCTCACAATCATTTCTTGCAATACATCATCTGATACTTTTCTTGTAAGTGGTGGTTCAGTTACGCTAACAGTTTATCAATTCCGTGTAGTCTTGAGTATCAAAATTTAGTTTGGGGACTTTAAATTGTCTAATGTTTCTATTTTGAAGACCATTTACAGAATTCTTTTCAGCGCAAGTTCTCTCATAGGCTTTCGGTCATCTGTAAGCATTGACAATAAAATATTTTCTTTATGAGCAAAAAATGCATTCCTCTGTATGACAGGATCAATCACATCTTTAACTGCAGCCGGAAGATATCTCGATCTTCTTATCAGAGAGAATAAATGCCTGGAGCCTTCAGTACACGATGATCTCACTTTAATATCAAACCAAACAGGAGCATAAACTTTCAATATAAATTCCGTTATTGTTTTCAATTCGTTTGAAGGCTGTTCAGAAGCTACATAAAGTCTCAAGATCCTATTTGCCGTTGTCAGCCATCTTGCATGTGCCATTTTTCCCGGATAACGCTTTGACAAATTTGGGGGTACATCACCCTTTGCGATTACAGAACACATTTCATAAAAGTAAACTTGATCGGTACTGGTGTCATTTAGGTCGAACTCCGGTACTTCGCCATCAATTTTTTCGAACTTTACTACTGGAAGGTTCTGACATGTTGGAAGAAGCTTTCCAATCGGGCCTGAGAATCCTTTCGGGTCGTTAGTTTTACCATCAATTTTCCAATCAAATGGCGAAGTGGAAGTTCATTGGCAAATCAGCCATTGTAACGAGTGTCCAATTGCTTAACAACTCCGTTCTTGAAGCCTGTATTGATGACAGTTCCGTCGCAACCAATAGCAGAAATTTCGTCAACAGGTCCCAGGTTACCTCTTAAAAAATCCATAATACTTGATGTTATGTCTTTAGCATTTCCGGAATTAGGAGTTACTTGCCCAAGATAAATAGATCCAGGTTCTGCAATAAGAACAATATGTTCCTCCAAAATGTACCGTTTATGATAAGTGCTCTCTTTTTTCTCCGTCAGTACTGTTCTATCATTTCTACCATCAAAGTAGAGCCCTGTAATTTCCAAATTTCTCGTTGATTCCTTTTTTATCTCAAATCTTCGTCTCTTTCGTTTCTCTCCTCAATTTACTACGGTTTAAAAGTTTTGAAGAGTCGTTCTTACTGACAATGCCGAGATCTTGCAAGACGACATTTGCCAAAAAAGAAGCACGTCTATCGGAAACTCCAGTTCGATCGCAAGCCTCTGCCAAATTTCTAAAATCCACTCCTCGAAGGTCTGTTTGTCTTGCTTTTGAAGTTGATGGACCATCTATTTGAAAATCAATTTCGCTTGTTGATGAACTTTCATACATATTTTCTTCTACCTGCGAGAAAGTTGCATCTAGAACAGTAACTTTTCCTACAAGCTCCGATTTCTCTGGATCGCTTTGGTCCCCTAGCTGCTTTATCGATTTGATCTTTCTTTGCATACGTTTTTCTAAAACCTTTGCCAATTTAACGTCAACGTTTCCAATAAACATTCTTCTTTCTGTTCTTTGGACTTTTAAAAATTCTTGTTCAGTTTTAAGCACTTGCAGGATTCAAAATCTTAACACTTGCACGTCGATATATCAAAAAGTTTTTCACTTGATTCTTTGAATTTTTTTTCAACTTCTCTAAACACTTTTTATTATGTACGGATCCAAGGTTTTTTTTAAATTCCGAAACTTTCCGACATAGTCCTTAATCAGTCGAGAAATCTTTTGCTCTATCACCACTTGTAAATAAGCATTTTCGCAAATGTTTTTCAATGCAGATATAACTTTTTTAGAGACTTCACTTGCACTTGGGTCTTTGCCATTATTATCGTCTTTAACTATTTTTCTGTGCCACAAATACGCTCTCATAACATCGCCGTAAGTCGGAAGAATGTTGCATTTAAGTTCTCTTGGTGCTCCAAACACCTCACAAAAATTTTTTGGGGTGGACACCCCTTATCACTTAGGGGTTTGAAAGATAGATAGTAGCCGTTTCTCAGACTTACTGAATATGCATAAAAAAATTTATAAGAATCGGTCAAGGCGTTTCGGAGGAGTATGTGAACGAACATTGTGACACGGATAGAACATCTTTTATCTTCTGATACTCAAAGAAATTATGCGCTTACAACCAAGCAGCAATTGATAAGTGCACTACATTGGCTTGGAAGTGGAACGCAGTAGCATGGTGTTGCAGATATGCATGGTATTAATAAAGCTACTGTATGCAAAGTTGTTCACAGAGTTGTTACAGCAATTAATCAAATTTTAATAAACGAAACAGTTTGTTGGCCAGTGGATGTAGCTGAAGTAATTCATGGGTTAAGTGAAATGGCTAAAATGCCCCTTGTGTGTGAAGCAGTGGACGGGACTTTAATTAACATTGATACTCTAAGTCAATATGATCCTGGTTTTGTGGATCGTCATGGTAATCATTCATTGAACGTGATGCTTGTATGTGGTCCAACAATGAAATTTTATTATATAAATGCCAATTGGCCTGATAGCGTAAGCGATGCACGAGTTTAGAGGTGAAGTTCACTTAGCATCAGAATGGAAGATGGTTGGAGACCTTTTCCAAATGCCGTCCTGTTAGGTGATTCAATTTATCCTTTAAAGCCTTGGCTTATACCACCTGTAATTCGTAATGCAGAAGATCCTGTCCCAGTTGTGTTTCGCAACCACTGATATAATTGGAGGATTCAATATTTATAATATGAACAAAATGTTTAACATTAAGTGAGCATTCTTTTTCCCAAAGTTCCAGTTCCAACTTCCGAACCTCAAGCTGAAGTTTCTTTATTTTAAGAGATTGAATGTTCTTAGCGTCATCTGGTTGCTGAACTCTTTTCTTACCTACAAAAATAAAATATGTAATCATCTGAATTAGAAACTAGGTTGACTTGTTTTGAAATAATTTTAAAAATTATTAGATACGCCATTGAAAGAGATTCAAGTCAGCATCTTGGATAGTTCCTAAAATCTTTAGATAGCAAGAAAATATGTCAGATTTGATATTTAGAGTGGTCTTACTTTTAATAAAATGATTAGTCAAGTTAGATGACATGGAAATAATGAGGAAAAACCGGAAAAACTTTGTTTCCAGATCCTTTGTATCCATGGTAAAATTACATTTTTCCAAAACAAACTTTAATTAGCTTCTCTCATTTAACTTAATTGAAAAATAATTTTGAAAAACAGGTTTCTGCCATTATTATAGATAAGTTATTAATTTTGATAAGATTAGCAATTAATTTGGAGTAGATTTTAAATTGATTAAAAAAATAAAAATTTGGAACATTTTAAATTTTGAATAAAAAAAAAACAAGATTGGGTTATAGATATTTTTAAATCAGATATTTTTGTCAGTAGTTTATTTAAAAATGAATAATAGCAAAATTTTAATGACTCAGGAGATAAACTCCAATATAACATAATAAATCAGTGACGCAGAATTTCTTCTTAACATTTTTAAAAATATCAATTTATTCAATTCTTGTCTTAAATGTTCTAGTCATTTTAATCAACAAAAATAAGGTAAGTATGTAATCTTTACAAGTAGAAAATATTTACAATTCAATATCAATTTAAGTAACTCTCAACTATCTTAAAAAGGATTAAAATTTCAGAAAGTGTTGGGCAGATTGTAAATTATTTTAGTTAAGATTTACGTTTCTGTTTGTAAGTCCTGTAATTCTTTATACGTTGAATCTGAAATATTGGACATTAAACAGTCGTATTGCATTCAATTATCTTTAAGACAATAACTATCTAAAGTTGGTACAGCTGAGAAGTGTTTATCGATAAGAGAAATGGCTGGGATCTACAAAACGCATGAAACCTGAAATGGTACCGGAATTTATAAAGGTTGTTAGGAAACAAAGTGGGGACATTTTTGATTTGTTTAATTTTAATGAACAGTAACTAGAAAATTTAGACATTTACCAATTCATTTTAAAGTACCAGCCAACAACAGAAACGCAATGTGCTGATGATATCCTTGAGTTTGCAAAAAGGTTTTACATCAATGTAACAGATTTTAAAGAAAAAACAAGAAATCAAGCCTCTAAAGTTTATGAGTCTGCAAAATGCAAAACTGCAGAGAAAAGTGTAATGGGTGCTCAAAAAGCATTTGAAACAAGTGCAACTTCGAGAGGAAAGGAGCTGGAGTCCCAAGTAATTAAGGAAGTTGAAAAAATTAAAAAAGTTGGTTTGATATTATGTAGTGAGTATCCTGTTTTTGGAGCTTCACCAGATGGTATCAGTGACAGTGGCGGCTCGTGGAAACTAGCAGCAGTGGGGCATAGACTGAAAAGGAATCCCAGGATTCGTTTTTCCCTTAGGAAAACAAGTTCTCCGCTTAATGAAAATTAAATATATTTCAAAACAAATTAAATATTACAAAATTGAAAACTAACTGCTAGGTACCGCTGCAGTTGTATACCATTTCTTATAGTTGAAGTCCATTCTTCTGGGTTTTTGGCTAGCGAAGTGATCGATGACCAGATTATTAAAATTTGGAATGGACCGAATAAGTTTTTTTTTTTCGATGGATAACATGGCTAACGCGCACAATCTATCTTGGCACATAGTGTTCCTTAAAAATATTTTAATACGTTTTAGTATCGAAAAGCATCTTTCACTCTCTACTGTGGTCATGGGAATTGTACACAGGATAGTTAGCAGCTCCACAGATTCCGAAAATGTAATTGTCAAATTGTTCTCAAAAAACATTTGTAATAACGGTACGGCCCCATTGTGTTGCACAAAGTCATCTCGGGTGTAAAGTATGGACAGTTCGTTTTTGAATTGAATTGTAAGCTGTTTACGTTTGGAAATAAACTACACACAGTTTTAACGTCCTCATTTGGAAAACAACCTCGGTAGTCTAAATTTTTCACTATCAAATAAACTTGCAATTGTTAGGTGGGTAGTAAAACTAAAACGTTCATTTACCTGCACTACTATTGTATCACAAATTTCCTTACATATCCTTAAATTAGGAATGGGGTCGTCCTTTTCAACACACCGTCTCTTCTTGCTTGTACTTGGGCCTGATTGGGTGTTGTCGTTTAAGTTTAGTTCTTGTAGGTCTTGTTGTGATTGCCATTCTTCATGAATTAGCGTGTCTATATTATTTCTAATATTTTGAATAGCTGCTGCAAAATTTGATATGTTTATCTTAACCTTGAGAGCATCGAGCTGTCTACTCTGCAGTTGATCAAAAAGTATATCGCAATTTGGCATTATTTTGCTAAAGAAAAATAACCAGAAACTAAAATATGTGTTTCAAAATGTATCAACCCTTTAGTCTGATTAATAGTTTTTTTTATCGAATTCTGTGTTCATAATTTCTTCGAGACATTTAATCAATCTTTATAAACATAAATAGTATTGACACACTTCGATGTAAAATTCCATCGTGTAGGAGCATTTTAAAGCATACGACTCTGAAGAAAAGGTGTTTGGCAATTTTCAAATTAGAAAAAATATTTATATCTCTATTTGATAGTTTGTCAACTAAGCCTGGAAAATTTCCAACGCATACCTTTTTGAGATGAGCAAAATAGCATTTGGTCATTTTTACCAACAATTTGCGAAAATGTACACCATTCAATTATTTATAAGACTCAGAATTTTTTATACTCTTAAATATGCAAACAAAGATTTGAAATCCTCGAAAATGTCATACAAAACCAAAAGAAAAATTAAAATTTTTTCCCATTTATAAATATTATTGATTTTTGTTCATTATATTTTTGACTGCTTAATAAAAAAAAGTAGTTTTATTTCTTAACTATTCCAACTGGCCCAACTAACGTTCTTTCGTACTCACAATAAATAAATTATTATCATGGTCCAACAAACACGCACCTTAAGCCGAAACCGGCATCGCCTTTGTGAGGGAGCCTGGTAAAGTTGCCGCTGCGTACATTCGTATCTGGTCTAGGTAATCTGTGTCATGGGACAGCGCCCCGCTTGTGACGTATAATCCATCGCATGTTCATCTCTTGCTAAGCGATATTGTCGTTGTCCTTGTTTTTTTGCATCATAATGAGAGCGAAAACAACAAAGGCACACATTTACTGTGCCCTGTGCCCATCTTCCACTTAATGTCGGAATTCTCGGAACGTCGCTCAACGCCCAGTCGTCCAGTGTCGTGCCAACGCAGTTTACGCTGAATATTAGATATTCAAGTATGTACATGACTTTTAGTTCAGAAGCGTTGAGATCAGAGCATTCTCTGTGGACAACTCGGTCACAGCTATCACACATTAATGTAGCAGCATCCTTACTGAGTGGCTCTTCACAAACATCATAAATTTGAGAAAATGAGGTTTAAAGTTTATTGCTTGGACTTTTTTCTTTTATTTAATTAAAAAATGTGCTATAACAATTAGAATAAAATTCAAAATATACAGGTTGTCTGTAAAAGGTCTTTACAAAAACATACCACATATTCCTTAGACCAAAATAAGTCGATTTAAATAAAATTACCTTAG